CGTGTTAATATTCTAGAAGAAACTAAACCCAAACACATCAATATTTATAGTAGTGTGATGGAATTACATGGGAGAAGAATTTGATACACATTGAATGCGAAAGCATAATTGAATATGTGGCAAGTTCTCATACATAACCTTTATTGATTTGATGGAACCACTTGTATATCTCACTTTCTTTGTTTGAAATTTATCAGACAATTCAAAATTATTTCTATTGTTTTAAGAGGAAAGAAATATAATCATTAGTTCTCCAATAACACAATATAGATTTTATTTTTTATTATAATTATCAAGTCTGTTTTTCTTTGAAAGCAAACATCACAATTAATTGATCTATCCCTTGTTTGATATTATAATTTTTTTTAAAATATAAAATTCAAATTTCATAGCCATTGAATTGAAATAGTAAGACAACAGATTTCAACAATATTCTGAAGCATCAGAATTGACTTCAAATTATACACATATACATGCGAAATAAATGTGTTAAAAAATCTAGACTAATAAATAAAGTTCATAAAAAGACATAAACCCGATTTATCAATTATTTTTAATTCATATAACTAATAAATTTTCAAAGAGCAATTAAGAATTAAGAAAAAATGATCATAGAATTTTATACATAAATTCATATATATAGACACATAAATATAAAGGGAGAAATCTTACTAATTAAATTGGCCAGGAGATGACATTGCTGGGAAAAACACATGCATATAGATATATTAGAGTGAGAAGTTGTAAAAATTAAATTTGTTGCCGTAAAGGAAACAAATATTAATCGTTTATTAAACGAAGTGAAGTGATAGATCCATTAGTTGCTAATGATTGATTATTGCAAGAGAGTTTTTGAATGAAAGAAAAATCATTTGGTATGAACTGATATACTACCATTAAGGATAATGCTAAACGGTTTATATTCAGTTGTTGCTTAATTTGTAGGATGTTGATAATGACTAAGAAAATATTTCTTATTTATTGTTATACTTTTATTGTTTCTGTCTTTTTTTTATATAATTATATAATTTTAGTGATTTTTCTTTGTCATGCTGACATTTTGATCTCTTCTATTTTTTTAAAAATCAAGTAAATTGAGTGAGAAGTTGTAGTGATTTCAAACATGAAAACAGTAGTTAGTTTGCATTTTATTAGGAACAAATTTATTTAATTTATTTTTTAATATTTAAAAAGAGAACACTTCAACAGTTTTTGACGTACATGAATTCTAAAAACTGTTTAAGTTTTTTTAAAAAATTGTTATTTATTTATTTAATATATGTAGAAATTAATTTGTTGTATTTATCATTTAATATATATAGAAATTATGTGGTGCTGACATGTGACACTATTTCCTCTCCTATTATATATAGATAGATATATAGGATCTATGATATTCCTTTATCAAATTTTAGACTAAGGAAGGATTAATGATAAGTTTTGAATATTTGTTTCCAATATAAAGTTAATAAGTCTTATCATTGGATTCTTAAAGAAGATTTTTATAATGTTGCATCACTTGTTACGATTGACTTAAAAGTTGTTGTGTACTATTTTGATTTATTGAGAAAATGAATCATTGTTGTATGGGTTAAAAAATGGGTTTGACATCACTACTAAAAATAATGAAAAAATTGACGGATAAGGTGAGTCTAAAAATTGACAATGTTCATCGATTTTTTTTCGTGCAAAAATTATAATTTCTTAATTTTTTTTTTTTTTAAAAACGATACAGTCCCTTGGTTTCAATTAATTCCATACAAAATCGATGAACATGATCAGTTTTTGAAGTGTAAACCTGCAGTTGAATATTATAAATAAAAGTGATGAAAATATCTTATTAGAACATGTATGGATCGAGTGGTAGAATTTTCCAAATTCCTAAAAAAATACTTGGATTCTCTTCCAAGTAGGTACATTCTATAGGTATATTTTTGAAAAAACGATGACACTATCAATAACTAGTGAATATTAATGTGTTATAACAAAGCACGATATTGCTATAACAAATATTTTTTTCTGTGATCAAAATAAATTCAAATGTACCGTTTTCATGGTAAACACAATATTGCCATAACAATTTATTTTTAATAAACGAGATTGTTATAAAGAGATTTTAGTTAACGATATAAACGTGACCATGTTACATTTTTTTTTGAACTTTGAACTTTTATTTATCAACTTCAAGTTAAAAGTGAGTGAATTCTTTTGAGTTCTAGATTTTGTGCAGGTGTTTGAATTTTTGAAAACATTTCATTTGCTACCACGATGATCTCACCCTCCGATTAGGTGGCCCTTTCTTTACCGTCCGATCACTTGTTACTCTACATTTTTATCTTTACCGATTGATGTAATCGTTCATTCCTCTTAGAATTTTACACCTTTGATTCTTTAATGATTCATAAACTTTCAATTTGGTCCTTGAATAGTCAAATATATTTAATCTTTAGGCCAAAATAAATATAGACAACACATTTTAGAGATTGTTTGACTTTTGACTTTTGATTTATAAGTTAAAAATAATAAATTAAAAATTTTAAGTTATGATTTTAGCATACTTTTAGTATTTTACCTTAAAATCAAATGGTTATAAGCACTTTTTTTAAATTTATCCAAACACACAAAAGCTTTAAAACACTTAAAAGAAATTAATTCACATAGACTTTGCTTTCAATTTTTATTTTGACACTCATCAACCTTATTTCATTTTTATTTTTCATCTATCATTTAAGCACGAAAAATATTATTAAATGTAAATTGTTCAGTAAATAACGTCATGTATTTCATTTTTTTGTATGTCATCTTGGTCTTCTGCATTTAAGCCAAATATCCAAAAAGAAATTTATATTAACTTAGCTCACAATGGATAAAAATAACCTACCTTCAATACAGGTAAAAAGAAAAACAAACTTCGGTTCACTATTAATAAAAATACTAAAATGCGATGAGTCCGTTGGGTTATCAACATTTTAAAAAAAATAATCGTACTTTCATCCATTGTTTTTTTCATAAAAATATACAGAAACTATAAATAACTATTTTTAAAACTATTTCTTGAATCAACAAACAAATTGATTGAGAAATCAAAATTGATCGATGTGCATCGATTTTTTATTAAAATATTAACAGATTTCTGTCACTCTTTAAAGTGTAAAACTGCAATTGATGAGTATAAATAAATATAATAATAATAATTATAATATTTTATGTATAAATAATACATAAAAATGGAATAAGGTTAACATTTAGTGCCAATATTTAAAATGGGGATAAATTAAAGGGGTTGTCTGTATATTTGGTCTTGTCTCTAAGTTTTTATTTCCTCATACATTTTAAAATTGAAATTTGAAAAATAATTTTAAAATTGAAATTTGAAAAATAATTTTAAAATATATATACTTAGATATATATTTGAAAAAAATTTAAGTATTGTGAATGAAAGTCCCAAAATTCAAAACTGATCAAGACAATTTTTTAAAACTTGAAAAATATTTAAAACAAATTTTCAAAATTTTATTCAAAATCTATAGTCAAATAAGTATTTTTTTTAAAAAAAAATTCAAAAATCTAATTCTAAATATATAGCCAAAACTAGCTTCAATTCATGAACTTGATTGGTTACTACCACTACCAGCATATATATTGTTTTATGAGCTATATAGTTCAAAATTGGTGCATACTTATGAAGACCGGTATGAGCCTAGATTGAGATGCTTTGATTATTATTCCTCGTTTTAAAATAAGTGAATTATTGTGATAATATATTTTTATTAAAAAATTGGATATAAGTTAAATATTATTTTTTATTTTTACTCTTTTAGTTATTTTCAAATTACTCTTAAAATAATATAATTAATTTCAAATAAACTCATAAATATAAATAATTAAATCTCTTTAATCACTTAGCAAATGTAAATAAAAGACAAAAATAGAAGAAATTTTCTATAACTCTCTTGAACTTTGAACAATTCACTTCTTTTTTAAAAAAAATATGAAAAAAATTCAACAATTCACTTTTTTTTAAATGGAAAAAGTATTTCAATTCGATAAGTAAATATAATACGTGCTATCGATTTGTGATATGTAAATATCAATCGGTTAATAAATAAATTAATCATTATTATTGGAATTCAGTTCCTAGCAATCTTCTCAATATGCGCTCCCTAGTTCCTTTTTACTTGTTATTTTTGACAAATTAAAAAAAAGATAATTTTTTTTATCTATTATATCCTTAATTTATTTAGAAAGTTGATATTTTTGAAAAAGATGAAACCACTTTTAACGAGTAAATTAATTTAAATTTTTTAGTAATTAATAATAATAAAATAGTAAATTTACTATATCAATTATTTTTTTAATAGATATATCAAGTCAAAGATGAATAAGTAAATAGTGACAGAGCGCGTATATGAATAAGTAAATAGTACTCCCTCCGTCCCTTTTTAGTTGTCCATATTTCCTCTTTTAGTTGTCCCTATTTAGTTGTCCATTTTGACAAAACAAGAAAGGACAATAATTTTTTTCCTATTATACCCTTATTTAAATAAAGTTGTCATAAATAAAGTAAATAAACTTATGAACTTCCCAACATTGATTAGTTATCTTGAGTGAATTTATTTTGGAATTGTAAATTATACTATAAGGGTAAAATTTTAACTTCACTATGCTAATCATTGTTGCCTTAATCTGTGTGCCATTTTTAAAGTGGACAACTAAATAGGGACGGAGGGAGTAAGAGAGGAAGTATATAACTACATATTCGTAACGGAAGCACTAATTCCAATGTGCTTTTAACGGACAACAATTGTCGAAATTGCGTGAATTTTATGTAAAGGTACCATAAGTGAACAATTCAAGAAGTTTTATGTTGTATATGCTAGATGAATTATCTAAGAGGTACAAGATTAAAAGTAGTGAATTACTAAAGGACTACACTGCAAATATCCTTTCCTATAAATTAACACTCACCCCAAGCACAATTTTATCGTCTCTTTCAATTACTTTCACTCAAAAAAAAAAAAAAAGGAAAAAATTAAGAGTAACAAAAGATGTGTGGAGGTGCCATAATCTCCGATTATGAGCCCGCCGGAAACTTCTACCGGAAACTCTCTGCTCGTGACCTGTGGGCTGAGCTGGACCCTATCTCCGACTACTGGTCCTCTTCCTCCTCATCCTCAACTGTCGAAAACCCTTATTCCGCTCAGTCGCCGGTGACTCACTCCGTCGATAAGCCTAAGAAATCAGATTCCGGCAAATCTAATCAACTCAAAAAAGGTAATACAAATATATATGTATGTATCTAACGATTTATTTAGCTTTTTGTACATTACTACCTTTAAATTTATGAAATAAACTGTACTCTATAGAAATGCACGAAATAATATAATATTCCAGTTTTTTTACAATTGAAATTTTTTTGGTAAATCCGATCGAACTTTTTAAAAAGAGTTCAGTGTCAGATAGTAAAAAGTCCTTTTTTTTACCAGAGATTTTATTTAGATTTAATTTTTACTCAATAGAGCTAGAAATAAAATATTTACTTTTACTTGTTTATAAAATAATAAGATTTTTTTTTTATGTTTTATCTTTAATATTTATGATTAAACATTTTGGCCATTTACTGGTCATTCTGGCCATCCTTGCTTGATTTTTTTTTTACTTATTTCCAAAATTATACGTTATTTGAAAAATACACTTTTTATTATTTTTGAAAAAAAAAAACGTTTAAAATTATTGTGAACAGATAAAAATGTCAGGAGGTGATAAAAGAAAGAAAAAATAATTGAAAAATCATTGTGATAAAGAGGGAATAAATGCAATTATAGGCCGTGACAGTCTGCGAATTAAAGTGACCTATGGTTTTATAGAACATACCTTCAAATTTTGTGGCTTTTTATTATTTGTATCTATCTACACGTATATATTAATTCTATCTTTTTATTGCATCAGCCATCAGGATGTTTTTTTTTTTGTTTAAACAGCCATCAGGATGTATACAAGAGCTTATTCCAATTTTCTTTTTTGTAAAAATAAAAGTTGCGGCGATGATGTAATTTCTATATTCATATATGTTCTTAAAATAATTAAATCCATATATTACGAGTATTATCCGTCAATTGCGTTTATCTATTTGAACATGTGTTCTGCCTCAATCATTCTATTTTCTTTTTGTCGTTTTCAAATCAATTTTCATGGTTAAACTTATCATAAGTCATAACCGATAAAAAAAAAGATAATCAATAATCATGAAGTAATATTTGATGGAAAATAAATTTTATTTGTCTTTTGTGCAAAAAGAAGGAACCGTCTTTCCTTAGAGTAATCAGTTCTCTTACGTTTTAATTGTTTTTAATATTCCTTTGGTATGTAAATGTTTGAAAATTACTCTTTAGTTATTTTGGTTTGAGAAAAATGTAAGTTATGATATAATAAATATTTTATGTGATTACTTCAAAAATCTAAAATGTTAATCCAAAATAAATTATTTAATCAGTTTAAGTTCCTAAAATTAATTGATCCTTGATGAGGGAAAATCATAAAATAAATAAATAAAGTAGACATCAATTAATCGCGTGGGCCACTTAATTCATTATATTGATATGACAGACTTTGCTTTAATTCTTGTCAACCACTAAATCACCACTTGTATATGAAAGCAGAAGCTGTTAGTATTGTACAAATAATGTGATGAAGAAAAGCCATCAATTATTTATTTATAATTAATAGATGTTGTACTAATTGTGTACATTTATATAAAAAAAATTAAAAAAATTGTGTATTTGATTTACAGGTAATAACACTGTGAAGGTTGAGAAGGAGAAGAGTAGTGGACCAAGGCTGAGAAAGAACAAGTACAGAGGAATAAGGCAGAGACCATGGGGAAAATGGGCTGCTGAGATTCGCGATCCTCAGAAGGGTGTTCGTGTTTGGCTTGGTACATTCAACACAGCAGAGGATGCTGCCAGAGCCTATGATGAGGCTGCTAAGCGCATTCGTGGTGACAAGGCCAAACTCAACTTCCCCGCCCCATCACCACCTGCTAAGCGACAGTGCACTAGCACTGTCGCTGCTGATCCTCCACCAGCACTACTCCTTGTGAGTTCTAACATAATATCTGATAACAACTCTCCTTTAATGAACTTCGGATATGATGTTCAGAGCCAAACTCCCTACTACCCAATGGAAATGCCCGTTGCTAGTGATGATTATGAACTCAAGGAACAGATTTCCAACTTGGAATCGTTCCTGGAATTGGAGCCAGCAGATTCATCTGATCAGTTTTCAGGGATCGCCGATTCTGATCCTCTTAATGTTTTTCTGATGGAGGATTTTGCTTCAACTCAGCATCATCAGTTCTATTGATCCTGAGTTGTTTGGTGAGTGACTAGTTTATTAGCCTTTGGCTGTAGTAGTAGTAATAGAGAAAAAAGTACATATGATAAGATAATAATAAGTTGCGTGCCTTAGCATGCAATTGTAATAGTATCAATGTTTGTTGTCTTGTGTTGTTTATGCTTTCTAAATCTTGGATTTACCTTATAATGTTTGGTCATTTGGTGCATGTATTGTAACTATATATGGAGTACTTTATTACTACTATGATAGCTGACACCTCTAGTTGATGGTATTTATGGAATTTTTGTATTTTTGTTTTAGTTTGTGTATCTTTTTTTTAGTCTTTTATAAATTTGAAACTTATATAAATTACGATATTAATAATTTAAAATATTTGAAATAAATAAAAAAATTATTTAACTTCCAAATTTCTGTTCGTAAAAATTGGGACATAAGAAATAACATATATTACTTGAAAACGATGCAAACAAGTAATATAAAAATAATAATAGTTAACAATTTGAACTATTTAGAAGATATGAAAATTTTGGTTAGTTATTGAAATTTTATCGGTGTCATATAAATTGTAATAAAGGGAATAATATATATTATTTAAAAATTACGTAAAAAATAATATAAATTAAAATAATTTAAAATATCTAAAAATTATATTAAATTGGCGTGTCTCCAAATTTTTTTCGGTGTCGCATAAATAAATTAAGATAAAGGAAAGTAACGTGTATATAAAATTATTCGGTCCATTTTAAGTAACAAGGCTTTAAAGAAAAAGGTGAGGGAAAAACTCAGAAATAAATTAAAATATTGTCCTTGTCTACGCAAGTTCATTGAACCTCTTTAGAAACATCTATTATGGAAATAGGAGTTGGAATCTTGTAATGGTTTGAAAATGAATTTGAGCATTTTTTTAAAAAGCATTAATTTATTCGAACAATGACAAAAAAACATTTATATAAGTTCAGCAAATCTTAATTAAAGATCATGTCCCACTTCTTTGTCAAAATCATTAAAAATATTACAAGAAGTACAAAAAGTTACCTATAAATTCTAGTTTTTACCCTCGACCTTTTTCAATACCAATGTTATAACTCTTAACAACTTATTAAAGTCTATTTATAAACCCTACTTAAACTGATAATTGTACTAGACATAAGAAAAGCAACTACGCTGCTATTTTATGATGAATTCTATACTTTTATGTATTATCAGTTTAAGTACAACTGAATCAATTAAAAATAAAGTGTGACTAGCTACATTATTTAAGGACGTTGTTAGAAAGAGTGGAGGAGGTAGGTGTTCAAGATTTAGAAAGCATGTATAAAAGGATTATTTTCTTTGGTAACTAACGTGTATTATTTACCAAGTAAAACTGTTATGTACAAACCTCTATCAGTCAGAGCATCAAGCCTCAAAACTGACTAAACAAAACTCAACAGTCTATCCTATCATTACATATTGTTTATAGCTCTTATGGATAAAAATTCATAGTATCTAATTTCTTGGCTATCTTGCTCTTCACGGACCCTTGAACATGGATTTTCTTGAATAATACGCCGCACCATAATTCCTTTGCAACAGACTTATAAAAGAATTATTCATAAATATATGCCACTAACTTGACTTCAACTGACATCTATGCCCTTCAACTTTGAGTGTGCATATATAAATAAACACTTAAACTTGTATAAAATTGAACAAGAAAATACACGAGTCGTACGTGATATAATACACATAGGATGCCACTGAAGATACAAAATTATCATGTAGGACGCTACCTGGGACGAATGTATCTGTTTGTTCAATTTAATACTAGTTTAAGTGCTTACTTGTGCATATGCAAAAATAGAGGGCATTGATATCAATTGAGGCTAAATTAAAGGGCACATTATATATTATGAACTTAAATTAAAATCTATAAATACATAGGTTAATAAATAAAAATATTTTATATAATATAAAATGATGTTACATAAATGGACCGGAGGATTAAAAATGACAGGGTAAAATAGGTTTTGCATACGATAAAGGGGGAGATAAAATGACTATTATTTAAAATTGAAGGATGAATTTGATTTTTAAATCAAAGTTAAGGTAAATGATTTTCACCCAAAACCTAATTAATCTACATAAATATTTTATAGGAGTGATGAAGTTTGATTAGTTTAATTTATGGATCCTTTAAGACCTAATTAATGTATATAAATACTTTATAGGATTATTGAAATTTAATTAATGGTTAATTTATGAATTAGTTATTAAAATAAGGAATATTTAAATGGAATTAGTATAGAAAAGGATCACCGCCAGTTATTATTCCTCCAGTAATCCTTCTTGCTATATATGGTAGGATGTTATTTTATGAATACTTTTGTTGTTAAGTAATAAGTGGTCTAGAAAGACACACATAACCTCAATTTAGTTCATTTTAGCTTTCAATATATTGTGATTAAAGATTAATACTCCCTTTTCTCAATCTAGGAATATTTTTTTATTTTTCGAGATTCAAATATTATATATCAAGTTTGTTCGATATTTTAAAATATACTTCATATCATATTGATATAAAAAAATCAATTACAACTTATAACATATTTCAAATAATTTTATCAAATTCACAAAACCTTAGAAATTATTCTACTTTATTAAAATATTATAGAAAGAACTATCAAATATCAAAACATGATCATGGCTAGAGCCGTCAAAATGGGCTTAGCCCATGGGGCCAGCCCAACCCTACCCGTTATTGGGGGTAGGGTTGGGACATGATTTTTCAAGTCCATTTAAAACTAGGGCTTATAAGCCCTGCCCATATAAGTCCTTGGCCCTTGAGGCTTGATCGGGGTTGGGCCGGGGCCGGCCCATGGGCCAAAACTTTTTATTCAAGAGTAATTTACAATAAACTCACTAGTATATAATCTAATTATTTGAATACACGTTATGTTGTAATATTATGAATCTTCGTACCCAGATACATGTATCTGGGAATATATGAACTCAAAATTAAGTTAATTTGTTCTGGATATACTCTATCAAAGTAGATTCGCATGTATCTAGGATACATATACAAATCTCGTGCCATCGCCTCCCTCCCATCTTGCTTGTCACTCTCTTATCTCACTTGCGTATCTGATATGCGAGATACATGCTAATTACACTAAATTTTTGCTAGTGTTATTGAAACAATACCATTGTTTGCCATATTTGATTTGAAAATCTTCTCATTTTCTTGATGTTATAGAATTACAAGTTTGAAAAAAATAGGGCTGGCCCGCCCAGCCTTCTGCCCTTCTAGGGTTGGGTTGGGTTGAGCATTTTCAGGCCCTACCAAAGGAAGGGCCGACCCGCCCTAGCCCTTCAAATTCCTTGACCCACGAGGCTTGGGCCCGGTGGGGCTGGGCCAACCCTTTTTGACGGCTCTAATCATGGCCATTAATTTGTTTTACTATCACATGGCAACATCGTACAATAACATTGAGGATTATTGGAGGAATAATCATTAAGGTGATCTTTTTTCGGATTAGTATAAATAAGGCCCTTGTTTATTTTTAGAGATAATATATGACTTTGAAAGCCTTGCCTCTTTCTTTTACTCTTAGTCCAGAAATTCATCTCATTAATCTCATTCTTTTTTTTTTTTTTTTTTATCTTGTACATTAAATATCTTCATGTCAAAGTATCTTTTATTATACACTCAAATACTTGACGTAAAAATTTCTTTCCTTTTCTTTGTGATCTTGCGTAGACAAAAATATTATCTTCATGTCAAAATTCCTTCATTTTTTTGTGATCTTGCACACTCAGTTCAAGTTATTTTAACTATAAAATGACATTTCACAATGATTAAAATCATTCTTCTTATACAACGCTAAAATGAAGTTCATGAAGATGAAGAAGACAAAGAAAATAAGTCTTAAATTTAAGTATTACCTCTATATAGGCTTAGTTTTCTTACCCTTGTTTGATTATTAGGACTATTTAAGCTTAGCTTTTTTTCCCTTGTTTGGTTATTAGGACTATATTCCTTCTCTTCTTGGTCATTTAGATTAAGACTAGCAAGAGAATTTTGAAGTGATGCACAAGGATCATAAATGATATCATGACCGATCCAAAATCTAATCGATTCGACGATTTAATTACCTTGGGATGCAATGACAATCTATCTACACAAAAAATTGCAGTTACGATAAGCAAAAATTGCACTTAACTGCGGAGATTTGCTAGAGAAGATGAGAGTGGAGCGAAAAAATTGCAGTTACGATAAGCAAAAATTGCACATAACTGAGGAGATTTGTCGGAGAAGACGAGAGTGGAGCGAGAAGAGAGAACGAAAATAGTGATGCAGAGTATGAAAGTGGAGCAAAATGACAAACACACCCTTTTCCACGTTTTTGATTTTGCATGTATATTGAAATATAAGATCATTATTATGATTTTGATTTTTTAAATATTAGGAATATATTTTACCATGTTAAAATTAATTTGATATGATTCGATATTTTAAAGTTTGTTTTTGTTAGAGTGCGTAAATCAACATAGTAGAAGGAATTGAATTTTATGGGCTCTAAATTTTCAAACAATGACATCAAGTGATAATAATTTAGTCCTGAAGTTAATACTTGTAAATACGAAATGAATTTCTTAACACAACTACGCAGTTTGAGTCAAAGTTAATGTGTTCGATTGAACCAGTATGACTGTGTTTGGGTTTCTAGCTTCCCGCTTCTATAAGTCGGTAGCCATAATTTGTTTGACATCAATTTTTCATAAAGTGTTTCAGTTATATCTCTTTAATACCGCATCAAGGGTGTGACCTAGTGGTCAATAAAGTGGTTGAGAATTGTTCGATCTCAAATTCGAAACTCAATAGAAACAAAAAATACTAAGTGATTCCTCACCATGTGTGCGAAAGCTGGTCCGGACACAAAAATATCTCTTCAATAACTTGTATGTAAAAAAAATATACAAAAATATTTGAGGAAAGCAGTCACCAGTTTGTAAGAGTATTTCGGAAAAAGGGATTATTTTTTTTCGTTCAACTTTTAATTTAACATTTTGTGGGACACATGTTTTTTCTCACTATATAATAGAGAGGCCATGGCCTGTGCCTAGCACAGGCCCAACACTGTCAAATTTGTAACATGAAGCTCAAAGTTACACTAAATAGCAGAATTCTATCATTATCGATACTTACATGGTATCAATAAGTGCACATGTAACAAAAGAGGTATAACTACTAGGGTGTATGACTTAGCTATAAACTATCCTTGCAAATGAAAATTGATACTCAAGCAATTGACCATTCTATATTCATTCATATACGACATCACCAGGAAGTTATTGTTAACATGTTAAAACTATCTTTTGTATACATGTGCTTAATATACGATGTTTATCTCTACTACGTGTAAAAAATACAAGTATGTTATCAAAAATACTATTAGACATATCAAATGTAAGTATCTTCAACTATGTCTTGCTTCATTGTCTCAATGAGTTGGAGCTACACTCAATGGCTTGGTAGCCATCCTTGGTAGCCATCCTTGGCTATTCCAGAAACCACATAGCAAGGAAGTATTTTGAGGTACCTTCAGAAAGCTAGTAAAAATCAATCAACGGAAGAAAATTGAACTTAAGAGGGTAGCAAAAATAAAATTAGAGAGTTATAAAATAAAAGATGCATTTGTCAGAAGTTCTTATACCATATTGTCAACAAATTTTCATAGACTATAAAATGAACAACTAAAATGCCCTTGGACTGCTATAATCTACTATTGATACTAGACAAAATTCATAAACCAAAGTAACTAGTGTTTTAGAAGTTGAATGAGGAATAAACACTTTAACAAATAAATGTAGAAACATCAGCTAATAAGTTAGAGTCTCGGTGCATTGTTTAACCAAAAACTTATCTTTTATCTCTAAATTGATTTCCATCAACAACAACAATTAAACCACTTTACGAAATCTAAAGCAAGAACTTCAGACCACAAATTGCTACGGTAAATGAAACTATGTATATATCTATATCCGGACGTACGTTAATATCAGAACACTAATATGAGAAATACATATAAGCACATAATAAGCTAAAATGAAGTCAATCTGATGAACCACTCTTATACCATAATTTCTTCTTCATTGGGACCAACTCTTCTTCTTTATTGACATAATTAACTATCAAACAAAAGTTTATTCAACAATTAACTCCTTATTCAGTAAACTAATACTCTAGTCATATTAAAATCTACATTAGCACAAAATCGCACATGTACTGCAAGAAATTATACCATAAATGAGACGTCTACCCTTTAATATTTTATTTCTCATGGATTCTTTTATGTCATTAACCTTTAGTCTCATTGTCCACTCTTCGTATCACAAAAAAGAAACTATGAGTAGATGTTAACCACATGGTGATTTGTCCTTTCACCAAAATATATTGTTGAAAAAATATCAGTTACTGATTTTTTAGGATGATCACCAAAAAATATCAAATTACTTAAAACAGACAACCCTCTATAAGTTAAAAAAAAAACAATCACAGAAATAGTGAATTCACTACGATAACCTTTCTCAGAAATTTAGAGTTTTGAAACAGATGAATGTAAATTTATATATACTTAATCCACTGATCTAAAAAATTTCAACTCCTATTCATTACGCCCATAAAGGAAAGCAACAAACAATTCAGTGCCAGAAAAAATCAAACCACATAAACCACTTGAATCAATAAATATATAAATTTGAAAAGTTAACAATCAAAGCATAACCACACATTTATAATTAAATTCAATAGATCTAATTCAAAATCTATGTAGAAATTTATAAATCCCCCCCCCCCCCCCCCCCCCACCCAAAAAAAAACAAACTAACCCCACCAATTGGACTTGATTCAGTACTAATATTGTCAAGACGGAGATGTCCTAGCCAATAGTGATTATTTTATTCTATATAATTTTTCGTATTGTCTGAACTTCATATAGATAAACCTTACTTCATTAATCAATATTAATGGTCTGTCAAGGAGATATATATATATATATACACCTATTTTTTGACTTAATATGTATTATTAGTACTCTCCGTAGTGTCAAGATTTTAATAGGTATACAATAGAAGATTGGTGATTAATATAAATAGGTGTAAGGCTTAAAAGCAAGTTGACAGTGTCAATTGAAATATCTTAAGCAAGATAAGAAATACTTGAATGTGTCAACATATGGGGAACTGGTGCAACATTTGTAATGTAAGCTGACATCAAACACAAGTTAGATTATATCCACTCTTGTGGACTACAGGTTTATGAGATTTTTTAATGTATAGAACACGTGTACTGCATCCAAACGACTAAAACTAAATATTGAACACTCTCCTCCTTCCCTTGTCTTCCTTCTTCAACTTCATTCTCTACTCGAAAATCAAAGCTTGAAGATGATGAATTAATCAAAGTTGAGGATTGTCTGTACATCTAAAAAAATATATTCTAAAACAAACTTATTTGTACATCTATCAGTTACTCGTGGCCAAATACTTTTGTCTTTCTTCTTTATCCCTAATGAAAAATATACTGTAGGAAACTTGTTCATTTCACACCCCAAAATATCAGTTAATTCCTCAATGCAACATTCTGCATTAATGCTAAATATACTGCTTTTAGACAGATATTCAGCCCAGAAATTGCTTGAGAACTTAATAAAACCCCTCTTAAATGCAATAGCTGGTCTTTTTTTGCCTCACAAAAAAGTAAAGTATCATTTGCATATAGAAAGTGTAAGTACCATTTCATCCTCTCTATTCTTGCCAATGCATAGTCCCTTAAACCATCCCAAACTCTCTACCTTTTTGAATATTAAGCTTGGATTTCCATCACAAAGACAAACAGATAGAGGATAAAGGATCACCCTGGCCTTAAACCCCTTCTAGACTTGAAGAAACCTTAAGGATCACAATCTATCAATATGGAAAATCTGGCTAGGGTAATGCAGAATCTGACCCACTTTGTCCACTTATCACCAAAAATTTGTTAGCCTAAAACATCTAGCAAACAAGACCAGCTAACATGGTTATATGCCTTGCCGCAGTTGTGCGGAAATTATACCAGTCAATTAACAAGGTTATGCTCTTTGCTCTAGCTAAATTTTAAAGCTTGAATTGAGGTTGCTCATCGTTTCTGCTCTCACAAAGCTTCCACCAATATAAAGATATACAAATATATTGTGAAATAAACTACAAACCACCACCACATATTATAATCATGTTCACCAATACAAACAAAAATAAAAAGCATAGATGCAAAGTAGAAGATACTGATAATGTAAAACCTTATCTCATTAAGAGATCAAAATATTTTTTGTTAGAAGCTAAAATTCTTTACTATCCTGAGGAAGCGCTTTAACACAATTTCTATATGTGTAGAGCACGCAACCCATTTCCTTCCCTTGTTGTATAAGTGTGTTCTGCAAACAATTTCAGCATTACATCAAGGAAAAGGAATGCAATTTCAGCAGCAGAATATTGATACAATTTCTTAACACATACCAGCTAGTTAATAGCTTTAGTGTCATCGGATAAAGACAACCTATATGCAGCCACATCACTGTACACTGCCAAATTCATTTTGAAACGTTAAAAAAATTAGTAAAAAGAACACATTTCAAGTAGTTAAGATAATACATAGGCAGTTTGATTTCATGGGTGGGCTATACTTTCAGAATGTAAGATGTTGGGATAAGCATTGTTTTGCTAACTGACGAAATACAAGGAATACGTTGGCAAAGTAATGTCAAACGTTGGTTTTCAAGGAAGACTTCTATTTCATAAAGGAGTTTCATTGCAAGTAAAACTCTAAATGAAATAGTGTTGTTGAACGAAAGAAGAGCCAGAAAAGGAGTACAGACTTCTGATAGCAAAAGCATAAATAGGATGAGATGCGTCCATACTCCTTACGCACTTACAAAGCAATAAACAATCAAGTGCTTAACTTTCAAGGTGCTGCTGAATGGAGAACAAGAACAGACTCTAGGAAGTATCTTAGTGTTTATGATTTTATTGTATTGATAGTTCAGTGATTTATAAACTGAATCTAGGATTTTAGTCTTCAAATTGAGGGCAACTCAAAGACACTGGGAACACACACCTTGGAGGTTTGTGCTAGAATAAAGATTAGTTGATTAATCTTTAGGTTACTTAACTCTTGTAATCTCTTTGGTTGTTGAGGCTCATTTATTTAGTGAAGTTGGGGTAAATCCTATTGAGGAACAGGTCTTGGTTTTTACACCTTTGTGAGCCGGGTGTTTCCACGTAAAATACTGTGTTCTTATTTTACTGTCTTTACTTCACAATTGAAACACGTTAGGCAACCTGGTTCACTTAGGAGAAGTTTAAAAGAAAAGTAAGTAAAATCTAGGTCGTGTAGAGTAACAATTGGTATCAGAGCAAGTTATCTTATACATGCTAACACCTAAGATAAAGATCGCGATGAATTCTGCACCACCTATCATATCGAAGGACAATCAACTGTTAGACCACCAATGTTCAATGGATCTCACTTTGGCTGGTGAAAGGCACACATGGGAGACTTCATACAAGCTGAAGACTATGAACTCTGGGATAGGATAACTATTGGACCTACCATTCCTATGAAGACTATGGAGGAGTACAAGTTCCAAAAGTTAGGATTGACTTCACTGTGGAAGACCTATCAACTCTTAGGAAGAATGTTAAGACCAAAAACATTCTAGTTTGTGGCCTAGGACCAAATGAGTACAACAAAATCTCAAATTGTACTACAGGTAAACAAATCTGGGATGCACTTGTCAATGCTCATGAAGGAACCAGTCAAGTAAGGAAATTCCTAGTAGCCATGTTGTTTACTGAATATGAAACCTTCAAGATGAAGGAAAGTAAACCTTTATTAGAAATGATCACTAGACTCACAAAGCTGATCAATGAGCTTTCATCTCTAGGGAAGGTTCTCAGAGGAGCAGGTTGACAAGGTGCTGAGGATTCTTCCAAAAGCAAAATGGGATATAAAAGTCACTGCTATAAGGGAAGCTAAAGATATCTCCATAATGACACTTGATGAACTTGTGGGAAATCTCAGAACATATGAGATGAATAAGGATGACTTGAAAGAGGAAATGCTCAGTGAAAAATCAATGGCCCTGAAAGCATCTGATGAAGAAGAATCTGATCTTGATGATGAACAAATGGCATTCCTGGCAAAGATCTTTAAAAAATTCCTCAGAAAAGGAAAAGGGAATGAAATGAAGGAAACAAGTACTAAGAAGTGGTCGAATGAAAAATCTCAGTTTGGATGCTACAAGTGTGGAAAGACTAATCATCATATCAAGGATTGTCCACAATGGGAAATTGAATGGAAGAAAGAAAGAGTTGAAAAGGAAAGGAACGCAAAACAAAATGAGGAATGTGCAATGGTAGCTGCTTGGGGATCACGAACAAAGGAATTTGATGATGAAGGAATTGATGAAACAACCTTCATAGCTGTAGGAGACTCAGATCTCAAGAAGATAGAAAACTCTAAGTAATAATGGGCTGAGGCAGCTACTTGGGGATCGGAAACTGAAGAATCTGAAAATAACGAAACTGAGGAAACAACTCTCATGGCTGCAGGAGATTTGGATCTTGAGGAAGAAGAAAACTCCGAGGTTTGTATTCTTGATCTAAAAGAAAAGTTGCACCTTTTTTCAAAAAATAAATTGATTGGATTAATGAGTGGTTTAATTGATGATTTTCAAGAATTAACCTATGAATGAGATCAGCTGTTTAAAGTTTTTGCAGATAAAAAATTTGAGTGCATGAAACTCAAAAGTAGCAAAACTATAACTGATGAACAAAACAACTATCTAGTTGAAAAACTTGAGTCTTTTAATCTAGATCTATAATCTGAAATTTTAAAGATGTCTGTAACTAGAAAAGGAAAAGAAGAAATGAGTTAAAGTTATCTTAACAGCTAAAAGACATAGAAATGTGTACAAAGCTGACATCATGGGAATGCCTGGCACAAATCTGAAGTGTCTCAGTGCAATGGCTAATGATCCCTTACTATGACACAAAAGACTTGGCCATGCAAGTTTGAAACAAATAAACAAACTGTTAGAAAAAGAGATGGTTATAGGCTTGCCTAAAACTAAACTAAAAAATGACAGAATTTGTGGTGCATGTGTAAGGGGGAAGCAAGTGAGATCTCCTTCAAGTCAAAGAACTAGGTAAGTACAACCAAGTGCCTTGAATTAATTCATATGGACCTATGCGGACCAATAGGGGTAAGAAGCAGATGAAGAAAAAGGTATGTATTGTCATTATTGATGATTTTTCTAGATTCACTTGGACTCTATTCCTAGCTTCTAAAGAAGAATCCTTTGATGTTTTTCCTATCTTTATCAAGAAATATGGAGAAAACTCTAGGATTGTCCTTGATTTCCATTAGGTCTGATCATGGAACAAAATTTGAAAATGCAAAATTTGTAGAATTTTGTTCATCTCATGGAATAGATCATAATTTTTCTGCTGCTAGGACTCCTCAACAAAATGGAGTAGTTGAAAGGAAAAATAGGACTTTAGAAGATATGGCCAGAACCATGATGATTGCCAACAATCTTGAAAAGAATTTCTGGGCTGAGGCCATTAGTACTGCTTGTTACATTATCAACAAATGCATGACTCATCCTATCTAATAGAAGACTCCCTATGAATTACTCAAAGGTAGAAAACCAAATATCTCTCACTTGAGGACTTTTGGTTGCAGATGTTTTGTTCATAATAATGGGAAAAATAACCTGGGAAAATTTGATGCAAAAAGTGATGAGGGAATCTTCCTAGGATATTCTCCACATAGTAAAGCATATAGGGTTTTGAATAAAAGAACAAAATGTGTTGAAGAGAGTGTGCATGTTATTTTTTATAAAAACAGTTCTTTGTTTGAGACTAACACCAAGGTGATAATGAAATTGAGGAACACAGGCAGAAACAAGGTAAGCAACCTGATCCTTCAGGTGAGCAATCAGAGAACACACAGATAGGGGGAACAATAAGTCAAGATACTGGTCACATTGACGACCAAAATACAGTAGATACTACTGAGATCTCTTCAGGGCTGAATGTAAAAAGCTACAAGTATCAAGGATTGCATCCAATGATAATGTTCTTACAGACTTAACATCTGGAATCACTACCAGATCAGGTCTAAAGAACTTATGTGCATTTCAAGCTTTTGTGTCCATGGTTGAACCCAAAAAGGTGAATGAGGCTCTTCTTGATGAAGATTGGATACAAGCAATGCAAGAGGAGCTCAATCAATTCAAGAGAAGTAAGGCATGGCATTTTGTTCCATCACTAGAAGGGAGAACAATGATTGGAACTAAATGGGTATATAGAAACAAGCTAGATGAGAACGGAACAGTCATAAGAAACAAGGCAAGGTTGGTGGTTCAGGGGTACAATCAGGAAGAGGGAATCAACTATGATGAGACTTTTGCCTCTGTAGCAAGACTTGAAGCTATTCGATTACTTATTGCATTTGTTGTTTTTAAAGAGTTCACATGTGAAAGTGCATTCTTGAATGGATATTTGAAAGAAGAGATATATGTAAAACAACCACCTGGGTTTGAAAATCCTGAGTTCCCTGATCATGTTTATAAATTAGACAAAGCTCTGTATGGACTGAAGCAAGCTCCAAGAGCATGGTATGAAAGACTATCTAAGTTTCTACTAGACCATGGTCATACAAGACAATTTTCAGGTATCTCAAAGGAACCACTGATCTGGGACTTTGGTACTTCAAAGAAAGTAATTTCAATCTTGTTGGTTAGGCAAATGCTGACTATAATTGGATACCTGGTCGACAGGAAAAGTACCACATGTATGGCTCACTTTCTTGGAACATGTTTGATATCCTGGTCCACTAAGAAACAAAATTATGTAGCCTTGTCTACTGTGCTGAATACGTGGCGGCTGGATCATGTTATGCACAATTGCTATGGCTCAAACAACAACTGTTGGATTTTGGTTTAAATGTTGGCCGGATTCCTATTTTATGTGATAATACTAGTGCTATTAATATAACAAAGAATCCTGTAAAACATAAACGAACAAAACACATTGATGTAAGACACCATTTTCTGTGAGATAATGTAGAAAAAAGTCATATATCAATAATGTTTTGCTCCACTGAGGAACAAATCGCTGACATTTTTACCAAAGCATTAAGTAGAGAGCACTTTGAGAAAAATAGACTAGACTTGGGTATGATTAAGATTGCATAATTTCCCTCCCTCAATGATTGGTTAGAAAACTGTCACTATATGAAAAATAAGTGTTTAGGCTATGAAGTGATAAATTATCTAGTCTATCAAATACATTCACTTGTATATCAATTTTGTCCTTATATGCTCTTATGAATTCTCATGGATTTTTGTTACTTTGAGTAATGAAATATAAGTACAAATTAGCTAAGCAAATTGTGGAGCACACCTCAGGGATAAAATGCTTTTAATTTAGAGTACCACATGCTGATACATATTAATAACATGGTTATTTTATTTTTTCTCTCTCATTAATACTAACCGCCAAAAACCAAAAACCCTTCGTCTCCCTCTTTTTTCTGTTTCGCTCTGAAAGCTGTCACCATCATATCACACGTGCTCTCGTCTTTTCACCTTCTTAAAGCCTCCTCTTCTTCCCAAATACTTTTCTTGATTACCCATATTCACCAAAAGCTTGAATCCTCAAATATGGCGTTTTCACCGAAATCCCTTGGAAAAACTGAAATCATGAAGCCATCGATAGTTCTCTTGCCTTAATCAGCGTAACATCTCCGTCAACTATTATCTTGATGTCTGAGGATGGAATCGCCTATGTTGTGTCGCTAAATGGCCCTCCATCCAGCCCAACTATTGCGGAAAATCATTCTTCAGACCTTCCTTTAGTTCTTCTTCTTGAAGCATCGAGTGAGGGGGAATCGAGAGAACATGCAACTTTCAGGGTCGCACTAGATGGGTCTACAAATTGGAGCTCTGTAAGTCGTAATCACTTTTTTCCTAGTTCAACTGAACTTTTTCTCATGGCACTTTCGGTTACCCCTATCCCCTTGAGTATAGATACTTCTGTGGAAATTCCTTTGGCTAATCTTGTGCCTACAAAGGGTAAGCATCGTCTTAGGGCTCTCAATAGAAAGTTTGTGTAGAATCTTGTGTCTGAATCGTCTCCACTCACAACTAATCCCTCAATTTTCGGTGTTAGGGTATAACAAACTCGCCAAAAATGTCATCAGGCTGAGGTTGATCTGGCTTCTGCATTAGCAGCAAGTAAAAGGACCCGTGCCTTTGTAAGAACTTTCCCTACATCCCCTGACATTGTTATTTCTGATGATGATGTCGTTTTTTGTAGGGTTAGGCGTGGTAAACACATTGCTTCTAAATCTTATTGCTTTAAGCCAAAGCCCACCCCCAAAAGCCATGAAATCCTCTTCAAAATCTGTCCCAATAGTTTGATCATCAAGAAATTTCACGTCGACATCCAAAAAGAAACAGGTTGCTTCCCCTGTTTCCTCATCGTGTTCTTTGTCTGGATCGGATGTTGAGAATCCAACCCAGTCCAATCCTTCAGCATCTTCCGCTCAGCTTGAGAGAATTATTTACTTCCATCAACAATCAGTTCTTTGAGGAAGAGTGGTCACTGGATTTGGGGGTCTTGAAATGGCTGTGTTACTGTCCAACATAGGGGCTCAAGGTTGGTCAGCTCTTTTTATTTAGGGAGATATCTAACGTAAGATGGCTAAGAGGGAGGTAACTGAATTTTACATAAATAGCAAGAGTGATGGTCTATCTTTTACCTCCACTGTGAGAAACACCCTTATTCATTTGGTCCCTGCTGATGTTACTCGGATATTAGAGATTCCTTTTGCCGGGTGGAATCACTATGTAAAGCTTGAATGACCTTCTTTACCTGCCAATTCCTCTACACTAAGTATCTGTCAAAAGCTCTTGTCAAAGCCTAATCTGCCTCATCATCGTTGCATTTAGAAGAATGAGATGTCTCTGCTACATAAGCTCTACTTTGATGTGGTTCATAAGATTATCCTACAACGAAAGCAACGACGGACGCATGCTAAGTTTCTTCATCTCACCCTTATGGAGTTATTGGACATTGAGGTGCTTATAAATTTACCCTTTCTGATTATCAACCACATGCAAAGGGTTCTTAATCAGAATAAAAATGGTCATGCACTTCCTTATGGGTTCTGGATGGCTTCTATCTTTGAGGCTTTTGATGTGCCAATACAGTTGTGGGTCTCTCAAACTGTCAAGGACGTGGTAGGTCGGGTTAATCATATGGCTCTTCCTATTTCTATGAGGCGCCTGAACTCCCCTCTTCAACGATTGAAATGTCAACCTGCTGAGAAGGAAGATAAACTAGCAGCTATGACGACTGCTCATCAATTAGAAATGGAGAGTTAGGAGGCTCAGGTAGTGGTTCTCCAAAATGAACTTGATCTGGAAAGAAATGCAAATATTGCCACTGTGTGCCATTTAACTAACCTACTATCCACTCAAAATCCCACCTTAGTCCCTTGAAAGCTCTCTTCTCTTTTGTCTCTCTGCTCGACTATGTTGTTTTTGTGAATCATGTTTTGTGTGTGCTCTTTCTTTAAGACGTTTAATGCCCTTTGGTTGTATTCTGTGTTCTATTTTGGCTGTTCCTACACTAATTTCAGCTCTTGGTACTTTTGTCTATGTTACTCACTGTTTTTAGCTGATTTGGTTATGACTTTGATCGCCATATTTTGGTGCAGATTCAGTATTAATCATTTTTACGCTTCTATCCTTATTATTTATCTTGAAACAATTTTTGATGATGCCCAAAAGGGGGAAGAACAGGGTATGTAGTATTTATAACCCACAACTAATCTGTCTTGTCCAAAGTGTTCCATGCTTAAATGTTAATAGGTCAGAATAGCAAAGTGAAAATGGATGTATAAAATGGACATAGGTTTGTCATCATAAAAAGGGGGAATTTTTTGGGATAAGCATTGTTTTGATAACTGATGAAATGCAAGGAACACGTTGGCAAAGTAATCTCAAACGTTGGTTTTCATGGAAGACTTCTATTTCATAAAGGAGTTTCATTGCAAGTAAAACTCTAAATGAAATAGAGTTGTTGAATGAAAGAAGAGTCAGAAAAGGAATAGAAGACTTCTGATAGCAAAAACATAAATAAGAGGAGATGTGTCCATACTCCTTACACACTTACAAAGCAATAAAGAATCAAGTGATTAACTTTCAAGGTACTGCTGAACGGAGAACATTGAAAAACAGACTCTAGGAAGTATCTTAGTGTTTGTGATTTTATTGTATTGATAGTTCAGTGATTTATAAACTGAATCTAGGATCTTAGTCTTCAAGTTGAGGGCAACTCGAAGACACTGGAAATACACACCTTGGAGGTTTGTGCTAGAATAAATATTAGTTGATTAATCTTTAGGTTACTTAACTCTTGTAATCTCTTTGGTTGTTGAGGCTCATTTATTTAGTGAAGTTGGGGTAAATCCTGTTGAGGAACAGGTCGTGGATTTTACACCTTTGTGAGCCGGGTGTTTTCACGTAAAACATTGTGTTCTTATTTTACTGGCTTTACTTCGCAATTGAAATACCTTAGGCAACTTGGTTCACTTAGGATAAGTTTAAAAGAAAAGTAAGTAAAATCTAGGTCGTGTAGAGGAACAGAAGACCTACAAGGAACATTCACAAGGAATCACTTGAAAATCCATAAATAATAATAAGACTAACAATATAATACTGAATGCGATCTTATTATCAAAAATAAATACTTAAGGTAAATTCATTTATGCTTGCAACCAGAAAGGAAGATCAAACAAACTACTGAATTACTAACTACAATAACAAATTGGGGAAAAAAATACTGAATTAGAATTGAAAACCTAAAGCAAATGTAAAAACGATGTGTTACCGATTGGACTAATAGTTGCACCTCCTTCAGCTGAAACCCAAAACCCTGGGCTTTGTACTTCTGGTTGATCATCCAGAAATTATAACGACAGAGGAAGAAATTCATCAATTAGGAAAACATGCTTACTGAAAACAATTGAATTTTCGAAACAGTGTTAATAGACATTGTACTCTAGAGAAAATGTGGATAGTGCAGCCTATCGGAACTGCCATTTGATGTGAGAGAGATCTGGAGGATCACCCATTTCATTCATATATATTTACTTAAATATCGGTTGGTATAAGAAATGAGGTAGCCTGATGTAGTTCCTACGCGTTCAATTGCATCCAATATGTTTGCCACAAATGTTAAATACATATGTGAATAATAATAAAATAATCAACTATGTTTTGAGCCCATAATTGCAGAAACTCAGTATTGAGAACATAAATGCTAATTTCATCAAAGTTAAATCATTGGTGATTAATTTTAATAGGTGTAAGGCTTAAAAGCAAGTTGACGGTGTCGATAGTGATATTTTAAGCAAGATAAGAAATACCTAAATGTGTAAACATATGGGGAACTGGTGAAACATTTCTAATGTAAGCTAATCAGGTTTACGAGAAAATTACAGATTAAAGCCTCTCTTTAATTGGATTTGATCGTTTGGTCATCAATTCAGCGATTTTCATTGCAAACAATAAAAAAAATTTCAAAAATATAATAGAGGGAACATATATTTTGTTAAATTTAGCTTTAATGGAATTGTATCAATTACAAATTATTTTGAGGAAAAACAGGTGGACTGACCTCTTTCAAATGTCGACTTTGACTAACTAAGCGTCCAATTCAACAACTAACTTGAGAACTTGCAAACAAGTTCTCTTCTAGTTTCCTCTGCAAGGATTCATGGGCGAGTTCGGCCTGCGATGTCAAGAAACCCGAAATACCCAATTAACAAGATTTTTGGTAAAGGTTTGAACTCGTAAATGAAATACACGTATATATCTGGCAGAAAGAGTAAAAGAACTAAAACTAGAGAAAAATGGCACAAACATTGGAAAAATTCCAAAAATAACAAGTTTAAAATCAATCGAGAAAAAATAAAAAAGGGGTGGAGGGCGGGCAACGGGAATTACCATATCGAAAGGAAAAACGTTATGGGCACCATAATGAGCATACAATAGTTTAGGCCGCATAACTAATTCACAATTTCTTCAATTCAACATAAATGGACCTTCAACATCTCAAATAATGGGTAAAACTTAATATTCATTGAATAATAAATGGAAACAAACTCCAAAAATCAATTTTGGATATATAGGCTCAGTTTTGAAACTTAGCATCATGATCAAAGTAAAGTAATGAAACTCATGAATGCAATTTGAGGGATCTCAAACTCCATTACGAACAGGCAAGTAAAAAATTAATCAAAAATCAGAAGATTAACAAAGATTTGGAATCGAAATTTCCAAAAAAAACTACATCCAGTATGTCACGCCCCAGCCTACACCCTGGGTGGGACTGACACTCAAGAACCATTGCTGGCCCCAAGCGAACCCTTGTCCTGGCTTACTACTTAGCAGAAGACTTAAACACAAGAAAATAGTCTCAAATAATGAACTCATGAAATAAACTTAGAATGTGTTAAAGGAAACATTCAACTAGCCAAGATGGAAACTCAAGTCTTAAAACATAATCCAATAACAAAATAGTGGCAAATGAACTAACTAACTGTCTATCTATGAAGCCTCTAAAAGTAGGAGGGATGTCGGGAAAAGACACCCGATCATCCTAACAACTGAAAAATACTAGAGCAATGTAAATAGGGATCTTCCGAAAAGCAATGAGGCTTACCACAAGACTCTGTATACGCAACTGGATCAACGAAGCATTGGATGCTGATCCTGGTTACATGTATCTGCATCATAACAATGATGCAGACCAAATGACATCAGTATATTGAATGTACGAGCATGCAAGGGGAATACTAAAACAAGACATAAGCTTGAAAGGAACTGAAAGAACTTACATGGGCTCAACTCAACTTAACTTAACTCATTTCAATATAAAGCAATAATATGAATGCAATATAGAGAAAAGCTTTTAAAACATGGATAACAACTCTGTGTATTTATAAATACAGTAGTAACTCTGTAAGTATACAAAGATACAATATAAACTCTGGATGTATATAAAAATACAAGTAACTCTGTGTATATAATAATACAAAATACTTTTGTGGAAGTTTCTCTAACCGACAACTATAACTTAAGAGCTATTGTGATGATACAACGTTTTACCTCACGCTGCCAGGGCCGTCCTATACTTTGACAAGGGTATAGAACCTGACTACTAAGTGGATCCACTAGTCTATGCTAAAATTCACTAAGGAATCATATAAAAAGTATGACCATTTTCTACCCATGATGGCTACATGGTTTATGGGAGCTGGGAGTTGTCTGAACTCTCCCCCATATCAGTGCTCAATACTACTCCCAAAATATAATACTAGCTCTTATATTTTAAAAACATAACTTCTTTTTGTGGTTTGAAATAATTTCTCAAAACTTAGCTCAAAGGCTTTTTCTTGGAAATCAAAGTTTCCTCTCTTTCTTAATTGTGAAAGCAGTTACTCTTTACTAAAAACTAGCTCAAGGCTCCTTTGGAAACCTCAGTTTCATTTCTTATTTAAATGTGAAAATATTTTAAACTCTTTGGGAATACATAGTCCCCATATACTCTTTGAAGAAATGAACTTCACTCTTTACTCTTTACTCAACTCAAAACTCAAGTCTTAAAACAAAGTTAAAACGTTTGTAAAAGACTCTTGGGAAACTCTATGAACTTCTCTTGACTTGATTCTTAACCTTCCTTGAATTGAATTATGGATTCAAGACTCATGATATCATGTTATGGATGATTTAATGTTGTTTATATGTACCTTAGAGTGTAGAAATCAACTAGGAAACATATGTACGTTTCAAGGGAACTAGTACGGAAAGAAGTGGGAAAGGGTAGAGAACCTGGCGTCCCTGGCGCTCTGAGTGGCGCGGGGCGCCAGACCCAAAAACATCAAAACTGGGGATGGGGCACACTGGCTGGCACGACGCCCCAGAACCCAAACTATAGAACATAAAATGGGGTGCTTTGGCTGGCGAGGCATCCCAGACCCTTGCCCAGAAAATCCCAATTTTTCTTGCTCATTTTTCAACTCTAAACACTCTAGATTCAATTGGTTCCTTCCCCAAACACTTAAATTCGAATACATAACCAAAATATGTAAGAATCTACTCAAAACTACATCTAATTTCATGAATTTAAATCAAGATCTTCTCAACAACTTCAACAATCAAGAACCCAATAGAAACTTCAACAAATCCATCAAGAACTCAATTTCTATACTTTCAAGAACACAATTTCACTGAATAAAATTATGATTGGCACGTGGGTGAACTAACCCAATGCTATGTGATCTCACATACCTAGTAAGGATCACCCCTTGGCGAAATCCACAAGCAAATCTTCAAGAACTTGGCGATTCCTTGCTTCTTCTTCTCTGTTCTCCTCTTCTTGTCTCTTCTCTCAAAACCCTAACTTATTTTCAATAGCGTAAGTTGAATCCAATCAGTTTAGACCCAAAATTAATTACAAAAAATGAATTTAATTAATTGGGTGGTGAAAAGACCATAATACCCTTCTAAAATCCGATTTTGATTTTCATTATCTAGACAGCCCAACTTCAAATGGGCATATCTCCCTCATACGAACTTGAAATTGATCAAACTCGGTGGCGTTTGAAAGATAATTCAAAGATATTTTCTATGGTATCTTATAGAACACCTAAATCATTCTGATATAGGAGTTATGGTTGTTTGAAGTTGACCCTAAAACTCATACTTAGCTTAACTTTGTCAAACTTTCCAAATTTGATTATTTCCAAAAATGGTTCCTTTCTAATTCTAAATCTTTCTAGTTATTTAAATTAGCGAGGTGTTACAATATCTCCCCCTTGGGAATATTTGTCTTTGAATGAGAATACTCTTAGAAGGCTAAGGCGTAACATCTAACACCTAGTTCAAACACCCAACAAGCAAACTGTAAAAACAACATGCCAACTTAAAATAAAAGCCAAGAAATGGATTAGTACCTTAATTTGGAACTTCTCCGAATTCTAAGAGATGTGGGTATCTCTTCTTCATATCCTCCTCAGCTTCCCCAGTAGCCTCCTCAACAAACTGATTTCTCTACAGAACTTTGACTGATGCTATTTCTTTAGTTCTCAACTTGCAAACTTGGTGATCTAGAATCTGAACAGGAATCTCCTCATGTGATAAGCTATCATTCATACCAATATCTTCCGTAGGTATGATAAGTGAAGGATCTCTCATACACTTCTTCAACATGGAGGTGTGAAATACCAGATGAACCATTGCTAACTCTTATGGTAGCTCCAACTTATAAGCTACATTACCAATCCTTTTGGATATTCTGTAAGGACCAATATACCGGGGAATAAGTTTCCCCTTCTTACCAAATCTCATAACACCTTTCATGGGTGAAACTTTCAAGTAAACCCAATCATCTACTTCAAACTTTAAGTCCCTTCTCCTAACATCTGTGTAGGATTTCTGACGACTTTGCACTGATTTCAACCTCTCTTGAATAACTTTCACTTTCTTCATAGCTTGATGAACTAAGTCTGGTCCTATCAACCTAGCTTCACCAACCTCAAACCATCCAATTGGAGATCTACACCTTCTCTCATAAAGAGCTTCATAAGGAGCCATCTGAATGCTAAAATGGTAACTGTTGTTATAAGCAAACTCAATGAGAGGTAGGTGATCATCCTAATTACCCTTGAAATCAATCACACAGGCCCTCAACATATCTTCTAGAGTCTGAATAGTGCATTCTGATTGACCATCTGTCTGAGGATGAAAAGCAGTACTTAAGTTCATATTTAAACCCAAGCCTTTCTGGAATGACTTCCAAATCTGTGTAGTAAAATGTGTTCCTCTATCTGAAATAATTGATATTGAATCCCCATGAAGTCTGACTACCTCTTGAATATATAAGTTAGCATAATCTTTTG